CAAAACGCATAGAAATGCATTTTGAAATGGGTTCCCGTTCCTTGGGAACGAAACCCTTGAGGAACGAGAACCCTGACACCCCTACACTCTAAAAAAAAAGGTACTCTTGGAAACCTATAGAGGGTTTCCGGGTTTGTCACTATATGAAACCCTTTATAGGTTTCCGGGAAAGGGTTTCCGAGCTCTCGGAAACGCTTCAACGCAATCAAAAAACCTCAGGGCCCAGAAACCCAGTTGAGGTTTCCGAGACTTCGAAAATCTTGTATAGGTTTTCCATAGCTACTTACAAAACAATTCACTGACCTATATCTGCCGCCTTATTCTAACACTTTAATCTATATCTATCTCCTTTATCTAACCCCTTATTCTAACTCCTTAATCTATATATAGCCCCTTATTCTATCCCCTTAATCTATCATCTTAATCTAACTCCTTATTCTAATCCCTTAATCTATATATATCTCCTGAATCTATCACCTTAATCTAACCCCTTATTCTAATCCCTTATTCTATCTCCTTAATCTATATATATCCACTTATTCTGTCCCTTCCCAACTGGCCTTTCGAGGGGTATTTCGACGCCTCGATTTTGCACTGTCGATGTCTTCTAAGATACCCATCGCCGAGCCCTCGATCCATCGGAAAATGGCAATCCGAGGGGTCGATTTGAAATTCCGATGGGTATAGCTCGTGTCTCAAAATTGTAGCATCATAGATGTTTCAAAGTTTCGATCTCGTGCTTCTGCTAACTATCAATGTACCTACCATCAGGCTCTGGACCCATCGGAATTTCAAATCGACCTCTCGGATTGCCATTTTCCGATGGGTCGAGGGCTCGGCGCACCCCTCGCATGTCTTTTTCGGCTCGCTTGGGTTTAATCTATCCCCTTATTCTATCCCTTTAATCTAACCCTTTATTCTATCCCCTTATTTTATCCGTTTAATCTGACCCCTTATTCTAACCCCTTATTCTAATTCCTTAATCTATATATATCCCCTTATTCTATCCCTTAATCCAACCCTTATTCTATTCCTTAATCTATCCCTTATTCTATCCCTTAATCTATTCCCTTTTCTATCCCCTGAATCTAACGCCTTATTCTATCCCTTAATCTAACTCTTATTCTATTCCTTTATTCTATGCTTTTAATCTAACCCCTTATTCTAAACTCTTATTCTAACCACTTATTCTAACTCCTTAAACTATACATATCTCCTTATTCTATCCCCTGAATCTAACCCTTATTCTATTCCTTAATCTAACCCCTTAATCTCACCCCTTATTCTAACTCCTTAATCTATATATATCACCTTATCCTATCCCCTTAATCTATAACCTTAATCCAACCCCTTGTTTAACCCCTTATTCTATCCTCTTATTCTATCCCCTTATTGTATCCCCTTAATCTATCCCCTTATTTTATCCCTTAATCTAACCATTATTCTACCCCCTTATTCTATCCTTAATCTATCCCTTTATTCTAACCCTTTAACCTAACCCCTTATTCTAACCCCTTAATCTATCACCATAATCTAACCCCTTATTCTAACCCGTTATTCTATCACCTTATTCTAGCCTCTGAATCTATCCCCTTATTCTATCCCTTTAATCTAACCCCTTATTGTATCCCTTAATCTAACCCTTATTCTATCCCTAAATCTGACCGCTGATTCTATTCTGTCAATCTAACTCCTTAATCTAACCGCTTATGCTAATCCCTGATCTATGCCCTTAATGTATATCTTTCCGCTTATTCTTAGCCCTTATTCTATTGCCTCATTGTAGCGCGTAATCTAAGTGCTTAATGTATATCTGTCTGCTGATTCTGTGGAATACATATATCCCCTTTATCTGGCTCCTTATTCTATATCTAATGCGTTATTGTATCCCGTTATTGTGACCCCTTATAGCATCGTGTTGGTGTAAGTCGGTAATCTATATGTGTCGAGTGATTGTAACTTCGTAATTTGACTCCTACATGTCGATTTGAGTTTGATATTTGTGAAGATGTGGCCGTAGTATAAATAGAGTGGAATAGCTCCTTAATGTAAACTCATGAATTTCGTCAAAGTTCTTGATTGTTCATGTCTGTTAAAGTGATTGTCATCGAGCTGGTGATAGTGTCGTAGTGTAGACGAATGTTATTTTCAGAGTCATATTGTCCGTTGTAGTCCTAATATTTTGAAATCTGTCTAGGAGTTAGGCATGATGTCAATCAAAGTGTTGAATCTTTTGACAGACGGAGAGATGAACTTAATGAGATCCCTCCAGTGTTCTCGTTGTTCAGATTCACGGTCATGAAGCCCGTTAAATTGGTGGAAGTTCGACATCTCCTAAATAGAATGTCATTTATTTTGTCTGAGTTCTGGAGTCTTCATGTCTCGGAAAACAGATGTCGTTCTGTCAGTCTTATTGCTATAGTCTTTATGTCTTCGTGCGAAAGACTGAGTGAAAAAGTTAGTCTTAGTCCTGCTTTCTTTCTGTATCTGAAAGTCATAATCACAAAGTCAGTCTTAGTCATCGAGTCTGTATGTTTTTTTGACTAAGAGTCGTAAAGTCAGTCTTGTTTGTTAGAGTCTTGACATCTCTCAAAGCTATCGTCATGGAGTCAGTTAAAGATTTCAAGTCTTCATGTCTCTCAAAGCCAGTGCTAGGAAGTTAGTAATGTCATGAGGTCTTATCTTCTGTCGAACTCAGAGTCATCAAGTCAAGGGAGTCCTATAGTGGTGAAAGTTTTTTGCATATTGAAGTCAAAGTCTTTAATGCAGTCTGACTTCTGGTTTCCGTATTGGTGTGGAAGGCAGAATGTTGGTGTCTTTAGTTTTGTTACCGGGGAACTGCAGTTTTCGTGTTCGCTTTTTTCGGATTATTAACCGGATCAGTTGGAAAAACTGCATCTTGCGGTGTGAAGAAATACATATTTACCGCTTTTCTCAGAAAGCTTCCAAGATATTTTATTTTGTTTGTCTTCAAACAGACGATTCATGAAAACATCAACTTATTTTTGAAACGATAGCTCATGGCATTCTCTCTAATAGGTGAACGCAGAAATTCTTGTGACTTGTGCTAATAGATTTGGAGCGAGCTAAAAGGCAAAACGTATGAGAATTTATAGTTTCTCACTGTCCAGAATTTGTTTTTTCTCTTCATCTAAACAACAATCACATTTCGCAGACCTTTCATTCTTTCCGACTATTTTCGAACTGAAAATGCTCACTTTATTGAGATGATGGTATTCAGAAATGAGTTTTTGTGCATATGATTTGATTTGGATAGTAAATGTGTTTTTTTTAAAGTGCTTAAATCGGTATGAAAGTGCGAAACTACCACATCTGATACATCTTTTCTTTTAGCTTACTCCAAATCTATTAGCACAAACCAAGAGGATCTTTTATTTTGACTATCGTACAGAATATCACGACGTATAATTTGAAAAAATTTAAGATTTTATCATGTACATTTGTGGAGATATATGGAGAATAAATTATGTTGCAAACACTCCGAGACATCTAGTATCTATGTTACATTCTCTCGCAAATGAAGATTTCTTCATGTTTTCCATCATTCCTCTCCTATCAATCTTCTGTATAATTCGGCTGAAAGGATCCTCAAACGGCTGAAACTTGCACTATATTCTGTTGCAATCTGTTGATAAGGATGATAATGCCTGTACTTGGATGAAACGTAAATGAATGAAGAAGGAGAAAGACGGCATTCTTTGATTCATCTAGCGATCTAATGCAGCTCTTCGATCCCCACAGGAAAATTTGTCGTAATCTATTCAAGTTTTTAGGTATTGCAAGATGTAAAAACAAGTCGAAATTTTCTCAGGAACAATGTATTTTCTTTTAAATTGTCAGGATTCTAATGATTTTACACAACAATTCCACATAAATTGAATAAGGTTTATATCATGCATCCCGTGCAATTCCTACACTTCTAAAATAGCGATCGTAACATAAGAATCAAAAAGAAGATATCCGAATGCTATTTCTGTGTTTGAGAATACTGGATAGGTTTTCCGAGCTTTTTTTCGGAAACGCAAGGGTTTTCTGAAAATTCGAAAACCCTGAAGGGTTTCCAATAGATGTTCGGAAACCATGCTCAATTTTTCGGAAACGCTTCCACCGTTTCTGATGCTCGGAAACCCAAAAAAGTTTTCGATAAAAAAATTATCGGAAACGCAAAGGTTTTTGAGAAGGTTTTTAAATCAGAGAAGGTTTCCGGAGATAACTTTCGGTTTTCAAAAAGAGTACCAGGGTTTCTGAGAATACGTTTGAGGGTTTGCGGACCTATATTTCGAAAACCCATAGGTTTCCGGATACTCGGAAACCCTGAAGGTATTTTCAGAAACTTAACATGAGTCCGGAAACCTTTCCGGATACGTTCAAGGGTTTTGGAAAGGATTTTCGAAGGGGTTTCGGTTTCTGAGAAAACGCTTTTTTTTTAGAGTGTAGTAGCACCTGTTGTAAATTCAGCATATTTTAGGTTTGTACACATCGTGCATGCATTTCATAATTGAATTGATCTGTTTTATAGCAGCAGTATAGGTACAAAATATTGGAAAAATATCTGCCACTGGTTTTTGGACTCGTACGCTCATTGACGAAGAAGCATCAAATAAGGACTGTTCTCTAAGCACAGCTTAAGCTACGCTTTATGCATTATTTAATACGATCGGTGATAGCTGGTTTCAATTCGAGTATGCAAACAAGAAGTTGAATCTCTGAAAAAATGACATAATTGATTACTGTTGTTCACGAAACTTAGTGAAAATGAAACTACATAGGGCACGTTAAAAGGTTTTTCGGCTGGCTTTCTTAAGAGGCCATGTGTATGATTCTTCTGTTTACCTTCACCCATATTCACGACTGCGCTCGAGTCAAAGGTCTGTGTATCCATCGTTCAGTCCTCTTTCCGCAAGAGTTTATTCACAAATTTGAGAAACAAAAGACTTCATCACATCTGTCTTTGAAAATGTCTCTAATTTTGAATTTTGTTAACTAATCGATTGACTTTGGTTGGCTGCATGAATGATACTGGTCAAAACTGCTTGAACACTTGGATGATTCGGCGAGTACGTTGAACGATACATCGTTAGTGATTTGGTCAAATATGGAAGAGCATCTGTGGATAAATTCATTTCTAGATAGATTAAACCAATGTTGTGCAGTGCATCGGCAGCTTCAAGTGAATAGTTTTCTTCTTCGAATAAGAATTGCTGCTGAAGATCAAGCGTACGAGTAGCATATTTGAGTGCTTCTGTCAGATTTCCAGTTTTTCTGTACAATGATGCAAGATTCTTATGACATTTTAATATTGTCAATCGATCCGGCTGTGTTAAATCTTGGCTCATATGAATAACTTGTTCATAAAACTTAATAGCTTCGATTGGTTGTGCTGATTCGAGCAAAAAAGCAACCATGAAAAGAAGACGAGGAATTGTAGGATGTTGTGGACCAAGCGTTTTGTTTAGGTTTTGCAAATGTTTGGTGAATATCGCGCTAATATTTGACGTTTGAGTCATTTTCATGTGAATGCGCAAGATAGAATCGAGAAATGTAATGAGTAGAGGATGATCTAATGGTAGAATTGTTTCACCCCAATTTAACTGACGGCGAAAAAATTTTTCTGCTGATGTTAAATTTCCTGTTGCTTCATGAATTGTTCCAATATGTCCAAGAAGTTCAATTTGGAATAGATGTTTTTCAGGCAATAGTCGCTTGTACACGACTTGAGCAAGAGTTAAATATTCTAGTGCTTTGAGTGTATTTCCACTGCTATAATAAGTCAAACCAATATTTTTGTTTACCTTCGCTTTTATTACATGGTCTTCATCTGTTCCATACAATTGTTCATAAGTACTCAGTGCTGCATGATGACTATTTAAACTTGCCTCGAAGTTGGATGTTACTCTCTGAAGGTTACCAATATTACTATTGAGGGAGGCAATACCCAAGAGATTCTCTCGGACACGTTGACGACGAATTTCAAGCGCCCGTTCATAGTCACTTAAAGCCAATTTTTGTTCACCTTTTTCTTGGTATAAAATAGCTCGTTGTTGTAAAATATCTGCTAGATCAATATGATAAGATGGTAGAGTGAGTAGCATTTGATCGAAATAACGAAGTGCTTGATCCTTTTTATCAAAACCATGTGCCATAGCGATGCCAAAGGCAACAGTAGCTGAATGATTTTTGATGAACATTTCTCGTAGACTACTAAGATAGGGATGTTCCTTGATCGAACTTTTCTGAATAGCAATCATTTTCACATTCCAAATGCGCTCATACGGATCGTATTCAATATGAGTGACATTAAAAAGAGTATTGAAATCGAACAAAACCTCTCGTTCTTCCTGAAATTTTGTGCGATGTTCGGTTTCGACAAATTTAGCTATATCTTTTAGTGAAGTATTCAGTGAAATCTCGAATAATACTCGCTGCATATCTGATAGCAATAGGCTTTGATCAGCAAATCCTTTAGCTTCACTTCGATCCATCGAGGTAGAAAGAAAATTATTGATAGAAATAATGGTTCCTACACTCTGTTTGAGTGTCTCCAGGTCGGTTGGTCGTAGTTGTTGGCCACTGAATAGTTTGATGCGAGAATTTGTACCACTTCTGATTCCCGATACTATGGTTTCATACGTAGTCTGCTGTACAATTTGCAATCGTTTGATTTCTGCACTGAGATCGCTAATAAAGAAACGAAAGGCATAGAGAAGGTCGATATTCTCGGTGCGTAGTGCCAGGTTAACGAGCTTGTGAACAAAAGAATCGGCTGTGTACCATTCGATTGCCAGTTCAGAATTATAGCCGTTGCTAAACTGTTCTATCAACCTTAACTGCTTACTATCTTTAGCATAGTATTCTTTGCTTTTTCTAATCATTTCTTGTTTAGCTTGTTCATCTCGAGGTAGATCCGTTAGAATCTCAAGTAAAAGTTGATGCCAAATGCGTGGTAATGTCGTTATAGAAACTGATCGACACCATGTTTGCTCCTGATTGAAGAAGTTAAGTAATGGCTCTACCTTTTTACTTAAAAACAGATACGTGGTTACGCGGATTGTCTCGATAAGAAGTTTAGCATTCGTGACGATACCGAATAGTTTCTCATGATACAAATGCTGATAATCTTCAGGTTTATTGCAAAAGATGAATAATGCTTCGACGTGATCATTTAAATCATAATAAGTCAGATAGTTGAACAAGAGTGACGCTTTTTTACCAGAGACCACAATGAGAAAATTTTTCTCAGTGTATTTTGCATGACCGATTGTGTGGACAGATTCGTCAAGATCCCATTGGAATTCGGCAGAAGGAATGAGTTCACGAAGTAATGACTGTGTTCGACGACAATCATCAGAACCTTCTCGAATGCAATCGTCGATCCACAGTAAATCAAATTGGGTTTTGTCAAATATGGATGAACTTCCAAGAGAACGTTGCCGAGCGTTTCCAGTGCTATAATAAACGAAACGATAAAATAAGTATCATAATGTTAATTCAATATCTTGTGAGCCGCTATGGCTGAATGGTTAAGATGTTTGACACATATCCACAAGATACTATGTTCGAATCTCGGCTCCATCAGTCATAGAATGACCTTGGACAAGTTACTAACGGCTGTTTTGTCTCGGACCACCCATCCGATAACAAACTGACTACGTTGTTGACATACACTAAAATGGTCCTTGTGACTAGTATGTTGTTAGTCAGTATGTATGGGGAGCTTAAGAAATTAAGCGAGAAGAACTCTGAGTCAGGCCGGCCTTCTGTCCAGAGCTACATTTAGTAATAGATGTAGGAAAATATCGGGCTTCTCGAAACTGTCCTCGGACAGCACCCTATACCGCAAGGTAGCCGAAAGGCGGGGTATTCTTCTTCTTCTTCTTCTTCAATATCTTGTGAACACTTAATAGCACTATCAATTTCAATTGAAATTTGTGTGTGTACCTGTACTTGGTGACGGAAAAGAAAAATTTCAGAAATACAGAATTTACGTCATTCAGAACAGTCTGAGAGTATTTTCAGTCAACGAAAATGATATATCAGCAATTGTCAAAAAACGGTTTGAATATATTACCTGTGCAATACAGAACAGAATACCAAGAAGAATACAAGCAATTGTCCGATGATGAACATCCTTTTTAATTGTTTCTTAATAATTGGTGTGTTGTTATGTCATAACAGACGGTAAAAGATGATGAAATGACGATAAAGATCGTTTAAATAAGAAATGTTGTTTTACTTTTCTCTGTCTTTTTGTTCTTGGCTGATTCACTTCCTTTCTCTTCTATTTTTATGGATTTTATCGATGGTGTGTCATAATGTTTGAAGTACTGATAACACTGTGAGTCATAGTTATCACTTTTTTTTTCGTAATAATGATGCATTACCGGTGGGTGTGAGTTTGAGTGAGTAATCGTGTTCGTTGTGGGGGTGGAGTGCATCTGATGTGTAGATGTCCGGATTAGGGCTGTAGAGCTCACGCTCACGCTCACGTGAGCGGTGGTCGCTCACGCTCATATGAGCGCTCATGAGCGTGAGCGTTTTCTGACTTAAAGAAAGTACGAGCGTCCCTGATCACATTTTTCAACTTTGTTCCTCGAAAATCGATATTCATGATTTTTGTGCCTGGGGTCCCCCTCAGGTATCATGAAAAAAAATTTTTTTTTTCACGAGTCAAAATCAGATGTAATAGTAGATTGAGAGGTGCTGGTTAAGAATATCACAATGAGAGCTCTCAAAATCTTTTTATTCTTGGAATAGTCCTAACCATTCTATGCACCATATTCTTCATTATTAGGGACCTCATAGAATATTTATTCACTTAAATTTGGCCAGAAACGTCTTTCTTACCCAAAATTTCGAGTTCTATACAGTTCTGAGTTTGTTACGCCAAACAAAATGTAATTTTTGGGAAAAAACAGTCATTCCAGTGCCGAAGTGGACCTTTTTTAAATACATAGAATTTTCTTCTGATAGCTTTTTGGGAAGACACCGTTATCATAACATGACATTTAGACCATTAGACCAATTTTTCAAGCTCTCACGGTTGGCAATGACAAAAATAATTGAAAATATGTTCAACATAGTGAAAAACTCTAAATTCTGGTAAAATTCGTCTTTTCCCACAAGATTTTCACATATATGGTTGATTTTTAGTACGAAAACAGTCTTCCTTGGACGTCAAACTCGAAGCATACATCTCGCTTTTCAAGCTCTATCGATTTGCAGTTGCCACAAGATGAAAACAGAAGAGCAAAAGAAGGAAAATTCCAAAAACTGGAACATTTCGTACCTTTTCAAAATTTTCATATTTCTGCAATCAAGTTTTCTGAAAGAAAAGGTAGTCTTTTCAGTAAACTTTTTGAGACTCGATTGACTGATGATACCGGTGGTAGATAGATAAGATCGAAGATGGGAAAAAAGTAGTCAGGATCGAGAAACATTACCTTGTTCGATATAAATCCTAATATAACTGAATGGTAAATTCCTGTTAGAGAGTACTTATGCGGGAAGAGCAGCATATATCGAACTGTTGCATAATAGATTTGGAATAGAAAGAGCATTATCTACTAAATAAATTTTAGGATTGTGAGAATTCATTATGAGCTGTTGTCTAATTATAATAAAAAGGAGAAGAACAAAAGATTAGATCGCAAATATTGAAGAGAAGCGTGGAAATAACGTAATGCTTCTATTTCAATTGATTTAAATCAGCTTCGTTGTTTGGTTTTGCCTCTTCCCTCAGTAAAAAAAAGACAGTTTGATTTAAAAAAAATCTACAATGTTTCCGCCAAAATAAAAAAGACCTGGCTATCAATGTTTTTATATAGATATTCAGAGTTGAGGTCCCGCAGGATAAAGACTTGTACTCTTTAATGTCCTACACTGCCTCATCCTGAAAAAATTTTTATCACACATTTAAACGCACAGGTTTTTACGACAAGTTGAGTTGTCCAGCTATCACTATCGACAACGATCAACGAGAAGTGAATGTGATCCTATACAAGTTTTCGATGCAGATCTAGTTTGAATTAGATTAATTTATAATTGCAGTCATCTATTTAGACCATAGTTGATAGCGATTTTCGATGTAATGCCGGTTAACATACTATTTTGCTATGTATTGATTTATTGATGCTTTGATTATGATACACACATACACTATCGATCACACAACTTATTTTTTCAAATATTTTAATAAGTGTACACTACATTTGACGTTCCTTTTCAGCCTAAAAAAGCCAACATTTTTAAGAACTAGCAGGATATTTTGTAACTGTCATATGAGATGCTGGGCAGTGAAGATTGCATTTTTTTTTCACAATTTAAATATGAATCTTGTCAATAAAGGCACTGAACTCAGAAGCGTCATTAGAGTTGAAGAATGGCTCTAACTGTTGTCTTGCTGATATAACGCAAGAGAGAAGTGCTAAGAAACTTCTCTAGTTCCTACAATAATGATCAACAAAAAAAAACTGCATGGTAGCTTTTTATAAGCTCGATATTCTGACACCCATTGACTTTACAAGGAAAGTCACTTAACTTTGATCAAAGGCAGCAAGACGATTTACAATATCATATTCATATAAGATTCAAAGATCAAGCTTTTAAACATTAAAGGGAAATGTCTTGATGCAGACGGATAACTAAGAAAACCTAACCGACGTCACCACATTTTTATGATAAACTTAGTTATCGATCGAAGTAACATAGAGAGCCTGTTCAATACGAATGTATTAATATTGGAAACGGTCACGGAAACTCCACTGAATTCTCAGATTAAGAAAACTAAAGCTTTTGAATAAAAAAGAGAAGTAAAATATTGGGCACATGCTAGTTTTTTGTGTTCACAGGAGTTATCCGAACGAGAAATACAATATCATTATCCTTCGTACAAGAAACGTATCTAAACAATGTAATCCAGCTCCAAATCACTGCTCCTACTTTTAAAATCTACTAAGTATGCTGGTGACAACACTTCTATCGCAGTGAATAGATTCTGACCTCCGAAACCTGTACTCTATCCTGTGAAAAGCCTTTTAATCTGGTCTCACCTTGCCCGGCAAGACTGGGCAGGTTACGCTTAGCATGAGGGCTCTATTCAAAGTAGATATATTTCCTTTTAGTGCAGTTACGGAAGAATCCAAAGACATATTTGTAAAATATTTGACTGTGCAATGAATTTCTTTCATTTTTCTCTTCTGTTCCGTGTTAAGGTTGTAACACAATTATTCTTTTATATATCACACATTGATAGAAAATGTAGTTCTAGTTTCGGAGAGAAAATTTCGAGTAATATGTAAAACCTTAATGGTGTTTTAATGATTGGCTTAGTTAGAGTGAATTTTCAAAAAGGTACTCATGTATGAGATATGCCAATGATAACAAGAAACAAGAATGACGGTACCTGTCGCGAGTAACACGTAATTTAATGTACTAATCAAACAACTTAACAAAGAGGTCATCTTATTTTTCTTCCGGCATATGACATGGTGATGTCATCTTCCGATACTCTTTCTCTCCATATAAGGCTTTCTGTTGACAGAACATCATAAGGAAATCAGTATTATACGAATTCAAACCCCTAGCTTGTTTCTCTTCACGTTCAAAATCAGAAAAACATAGATGGACATACATGCAGTAAAAGCTGATGAGAATCTTTTAGACTTCCGACATAGGTCACAGGTGTACCCTGTTTTTTTTATCTTTCAGACTGCCAATCAAGAGAGCTTAGACAATTACTAATTCAATTCGAATATGGTGCTCCAACAACCCTACTTTGATACTGAAAACTAACCCATTATAGCCGAACTCAGAAGAAATGTCAAATTTGAGTATATTTCGCACTTCTCACCGTGCTATACCTCTGTTCTAGTTCTGCACGACTACAAATCGATAGAACTTGAAAAGCGAGATGTATACTTCGAGTTTGACGCCCAAGGAAAACTGTTTTCATGCTAAATATTAAACATATATAGACAAATCTAGTGGGAAAAGGCGAATCTTACCACAATTTAGAGTTTTTGACCATGATATACCCCCCCCCCCCCTCAAAAATCAACGCCGACCTATAAAAGAAAGGCACCCGGAATAGAAGGCCACCCCGGACCGTTTGATTCTCTGGACATAATATAACGCCATACCAATTTCAAGGAAAAATGCGAAAAAATTCCGACAAGACATAATAGAACGCCACCCAAAAAAGACCGATTCACTGGGACATAATAGAAGGCCATGCCTTTTTATTCTGAGGGGGTTTAGACATTTTCAATTCTTTTTATGGCTGCCAACCGCTAGAGCTTGAAAAACTAGTCTAATGGTCAAAATTTCATGTTATGATAACGGTGTCTTCCCAAAAAGTTGTCAGAAGAAAATTCCTATGTATTTAAAAAGGTCCATTCTGACACTGGAATGACCGTTTTTTTTCCAAAATTATGCTTTTTTTTTGGTGTAACAAACTCAGAACCGTAGAGAACTCGAGATTTGGGGTAAGAAAGATGTTTCTGGCTAAATTTAAGTGAATAAATATTCTATGAGTACTCTAATAATGAAGAATATAGTGCATATAGCTGTTAGGACTATTCCAAGAATAAAAAGATTTTGAGAGCTCTCATTGTGATATTCTTAACCAGCACCTCTCAATCTACTATTACATCTGATTTCGACTCGTGAAAAAAAAAATTTTTTTTCATGATACCTGAGGGGGACCCCAGGCACAAAAATCATGAATATCGATTTTCGAGGAACAAAGTTGAAAAAGTGATCAGAGACACTCGTACTTTCTTTAAGTCAGAAAACGCTCATGAGCGTGAGCGGAAAAACGCTCATATGAGCGCTCATGAGCGTGAGCTGTACAGCCCTACTATTCATTGAAACAACGACTTCTTCCATAAACAGATATTAGTAATTTTGAAAAAATGAATAAATATAGATAAGCATATGAAAAAAAAAATGATTAGCTAAGATATAATCATTTTTGTATAGTTGTGATGTTATATGTGATTATCAAACGATGTTCGATGGAATATTTTGCAAAGCAATCAATTTACATTTTGTAAACATTTACCAAAAATTCAGAAATAAATTTAAAATAAAATCTAAATATGTGTGAAGTATTCTAGAATATGTTTACAAGCCTTTTAGTATCTTTAGAATGTAACAGGAACATGGTGCGATCATTTTCTTACAGAATATTCTTTGGTGATGATCGAATTTTCATTATTTATGATTTATTTTTTCTGAAGTCATGCATTTTGATGATTGTATTGTTGAGTTTTAACTTATGCTTTTCATTAAAAAAATTCTCAGAAATTTACAATCTAAAATAATTTTACAGGATAATACCGCGCTTGTCAGGTATCGAACTGAACTGGAACCTGTGGAAGTTGGTTTGCTTCCCTTTCTGATAGTTATCGTTAAATACTGTCAATGATGAATTGCTTTTTACATTAAAATATTCAATTTTTTTCTTTATTATGAAATTTTTTTTGTATTGATAATAAAATAATAAAAAATACGAATAATAAATCAAGAAAAAAGAATTGTTATTTGAATAAAAAAGAAACAATTGTGTAGTGCGAGACTTTTTGAATTTATCATTTTCAATAGATTTTCAGAAAACAGTTCAATAGGATGAAGTATGGTAGCTGCTTTTTACATATAATCTACTAAACCAAAATGATTCAAAGATTGTAGATGTGCTTAAACAGAATATCAACATCTATACTCACATTCTTCTTGATATTATTAAAAGTACTGGTTATAAATGCAAGTTTTAATCCAGATGTTGTGCAACTTTTTCTTAAACTCTAACGACATGGTTTAAAAAGCTCTTCGTTAAAACTTCAATGGCTAAAATATGTTTAATGGATACATGTAATCGACTTATTTACTAGTTAAATCAATGATTGAAATCATAATAAAACATACGATATGAAATATAAATCAATAAGCCAAACAGAAATTAGAGCACAAAATAAATGACAATCTATTCTGATTGATTTAGAAAATTTAGATATGATTGTTATAATAAAGACCGATTCTAGTAAAAAGAAAAAAAGTAAATAAATTAATTCTTGTTGTTATGTTTCCATTTTATGAATCAATATTTTTAGTCTTTATTGAGGGTGTGAGTATGGATGACAGAGAGAGAGAGAGTATATGATTCATCAACATATCCAAACAACATCTACATCCACACCGTATTTTGAATGTGTTCAAGTAAATCAGCAAATAATTTTTCTGGATTCGATTCATTTATGAATGCTTATTCAAATTGACGTCAATGTTCAATATTCGTTAACTAAAATAAATAAAATAGATTTTTTGTTTTTTGTTGATACAATTGATATTTGCAAGTTTTCTTTTAATATACCTGCAGATACTATTTTCGATCAGCAATAAGAAATAAACGATTGTCTGATTCTTCGAAACGAGCACTGAAACGTGATAACATCAATAAAAACCTAAAAAAAGTAAAAGATATACTATATTATCAATGAAAATTCATTTTGACATTTCATGGCGAAATTTATTGATTTTGTATTGATCGTCATTCCTTCGGATTGCAACAAAGAGTTTTTGTTTTTCATTACTATTTTACTATTTATCTTTTCCAAATAAATTTTAGTTGTATGTGTAAGTCTTGATAATTTTTAAAAAGAAAGCTAGGAAGAATATTTAACCATAGGCAGAAACAAAAAATAGTTCATCCAACAGTCCAAATACGACTTCACTCTATTTTACTCATAAGAGGGTGTGGGTGTGGGTATCATTATAGATCTTGTCTTCATCCACACCCACACCCTGTGATAGACATGCACTTAACATAAGACAAGTTAACCCCCATATAGCCATACATAGTGATTTTCTTTGTGCAATATTTGTCGTTGATAATAAAGTCCATTCATTAACTTTAGCTGAATAACGTGCATTAATTAAAGCACGAAAAAAGAAACTAATATGTGCAAGTAATAATGATAAAGGACGTAATAAAAGTAAAGCTTCATATAGTAATGTTGCTGATTGTTTAGTACGTTCATATAATTCTTCAACAAGTTCAATAGGAATATTATCTGATGATGCAATTATTGATGAACTATCAATTATTGTTTGTTCTTTATTAACATGTTCATTATTTACTGAATTTTATATTTTTATTTGGTCGTTGTAATAATGTATAAATACATGAAAGTATTAACACTATGTATCATTTTTGGGATATTGACCAACTATTAAAAGTTTTTCAAGACTAATTGATATAATTTTTTGTGTTAAATTATCATCATTAATTAATGATAATCAAATATCATATGAATTTAAATCAACTTCATGACTTTCAAGTAAAAATAAACATGATGTATATGCATGAGTTTTAGTTATTAATTTATAATTACGTTCAATTAAATGTGTATATAATTCATTATATTCTTTTGTTGTGTGTTCAAGTAATATACTAGATTTACATAAATTATAACTTATTAAGGATATTATTAAATCATCTTCATCAAACCATGTACAAAAATATTCATCATATTAATTTGATAAATGTTGTGATGATGTAAATAAATCAGATAAATATATAATTGAACCTATTAATTTATATTACATATATTTCAATTAGAATTTGTAATGATAATGTTAAATCAAAACCATGATGAAAAAATAAGCGATCAACTAAACTCTAAATTATATATTTTTAAAGATGGATGCCAGAAAAGAAAATGTTCATAATCTAATTTTTTGATTGATAGAATTTATTTGAAATTATTGATATAATCTTTTATCTCTATGAAATAAGATAGTTTGCATGTATTATATATCAAATCAAAGTCACAGAAACACTAGATTTTCTCTTTGATGAAATTAATAATTTAGCAATAAATTTATTTTTCTCTTAACTTAGAGTTCTATTTGTCGATTATTAAAACATATGTGAGACTTACATTAACTGATAATGGTAATGTATTATTACTTTGGATTGATGTTAATATAGTATCATATGAAAATTGTCCATAGAATAATAAATCACGTGTACCTAACCGTTCAATATTTGTAAATAAATTATTTGAACTTGTATCTAATATTGATAAAAAAAACAGATAGAATCTAGTTTATTTTTCAATCTTGTTACCATTGTGTTGCATTTGTTTCTAAAGTTTCTTCTTTTTTTTTTAAAATTATTTGTTGTTTGTTTATTTTCATCATTAGATTCATTTGTGGTGAATTAATTGAAGCTAAAAATGAAGCTTATATTTCTTGAAATTGTATTCTTAATAATCAACCAACTCCAAAATTGTCTTTATATAAATATTGGTAAACAAAATAATAATATAACTATACAATATAAATCATGTCAGTAAATATATGATATATATATATATTTAATTTATTTTTGTTAAATAATAAAGATGATCAAGATCATTTATCTGCAGTGGCGCAACCAGGAATTTTTTCCGGGGGGGACCATCATAGAGAAAAAGTGATTTTTTGCTTGTGAAAACGAATATATCTGTACCCCCCTCCAGTGATTTAGATCTTCCAGGGGGGGGATTGGTCCCCCCAATCCTCTCTCTGGATTCGCCACTGTTTATCTGGTTCAATTAAATTTAAATATGATTATAATATATTTGATATAGTTAAACCATGTCGTTGATAAATATATTCAAATATTGATAATACTGTTCTCGATAATGTACAACATGATATTATTTGATCTGTTTCACAACTAAGAAATGATGCTTTTTTTTTTGAAAAATATTTATATAAATTATTTCTGATATAAATATTATAAAACGTAATAAATCATGTATATCACCTGTTGAAAATTGACATGTTAATTCATGTAAGTAAAGTTAGCAGCAGATTCGAGTATTTCCCCCTACTATTCGCAACAACAGCTGTGCCAGATTAAACATTGGTTGTGCCAGGTAGCCCATCGAATATACTATAGAATGCCATAGGTTCAACACCTTTTCACTACATCGTTTACCGGCAAAATAAAAAAAACTGATAAAAAAACGCTTTTTTTACTGCGAATATCAGTATTTCCACCAAATATTCGCTCCTCATCTTGTGCCATTCACGAAATCACTTGTGCCAGATAGAATTCGATGAGATCTATCGGTTGGTACCCATTACGCGACAATCCAAGCCAACATACAGGGGCCAAGTGGTCAGCACCTCGAAAACCAACTTACGCCACCCTTAATCCGGGCTAATATTCGATTACATGGTTGTGCCACTCCTAAAATCAACTGTGCCAAATAGAACTCGATGAGATCTATCGATTGATGCCAAATAAGCGATGATCCAAATCAAGATGCATGGTCCAAGTGGTCAGTACCTATGAGAACCAGGTCTCGGGACCGGTAA